AAACATGAAACTTCTTCTTGCTCTTCTTTGCTCGATCCAGCCACCACAAGCAATTCTTTGGTGTGATGGGAGCTGCCTTGAGACGACTGTAGAACTCCTCGGGAACTGCCTTGTAGAACTTCCTGAGGTAGGCCTTCTTGTGATCAGGCAGATGCTCAGGGAAGTGATCTTCCTCATAGGCCTGCAGTTCATCTTCCAGGAACACATGTTCTTCGTGGTCAGCAATGTAGATCTCTTCCGTGGACCGTGAACTGCTGAGAGCTGTCTGTGGCGGTTCCTTGTTCTTCATGTCGAAGACTGTCATACCAGTCCACTTCTTGAGCATCATCTTCTGAGCTGTATGCTCATCTGTCCAGTCGTCGTCCAACTCCTCTGTGGCGCCATCTTTGTAGAGGAGAAATGCTCTTCTTCCTGTCGTCAGGTAGGAGAGCTTCGTTGGAAATCGGCTTGTTTGTGGTGAGAAGAGTGCTTGTCGGCTGCGGACATGATGTCTAATCCATTGGTCTCCATTCTTCTGCCAGCGGTCTCGATGACTGTGCTTGGGAGATGGAGTGATGTCACCTTCCTGCAGTGGATCTTGTTCATGAGGTCGTGGAACATAAGAATCTTCTTCTTGCAATGGTCCTTGTCTTGGTTGTGGAACATAAGGATCTTTTCTCTGCAGTGGTCCTTGTTTTGGTTGTGGATCATAAGGTTCGTCTCTGTCTTCACTCCGCTCAGGTTCTGCGCCAGTGGGTGCTGATGTTGTTTGAAAGCAGTAGCGAAAGCTGTTGCAGTCCTGCCAGAGCTGGTTTGCTTGTTGTTGAACCTATCCAAGAAACAGAACGGCTTCCTTCTGCTCATCGGTGCTCACTGGTCGCATGTCATCGAGGGGAATGATGTAGTGTCCTGAATCAGTCAAAAGCACTCTAATCATTGTTGGCTTGGACACTGTTGAGGCGTCGGCATGACAGACCAAGAGACCATCGTTGTTCTTCAAGAACTGTGTGATCAGAGCGGTGTTCATAGCTCTGAGACTTGGGTTGCCGATCAATGCCGGACATAGTGAGCCATCACCTCCAAGAACATCTGCTGAGAACGATGCTCGGTTGTCATTGCCGTCCAAGTGGAACTCAAAGGTCACTTCGGCGAGTGTGGAATCGCCTTTGCCGGAAATGCCCGTCACGGAGGTGCTGCGTTCCTTCCATGTCATGTACTTGTCAAGGCCAGCTGGTCGAAGACCGATGAGACCGGCTGCAGCACCAGGATCCACTAGTAGTCCTCTTCTCTTCTGGCCAGCTACCGTGTGGTAGGTGCTGACATTTGGCTCTGAGATGCCATGGTGGACCATGACGGGGGAGTTCAACACTTTCTTGCCGGGCTGTGCAGTTGTTGTCTCTGTTATAGGTTCCTCGCGCTGTTCCTTGTGTCGGCTGAGGAAATCTTCTTCGCGGCTGATGTCGAAGTTCAGGATGGGCTTCTCTGGAGAACGCTGCAAGGGCTCTGAAGACGATGAGATTGAAGGTCCTGACAGGTCAATGCCAAAGCGAGCGTGGTGGAGTTGTCGAGCTTCACGAATGCTCTTAGTTGGACTTTCCTCACCGACAGGGGGCCTTTGCCTTTGTTGTAGTCTGAGGACCATGGTCGATAGCCTTTGCCCTTGCCCTTGAAGCCTTTTCTCTTTCCTTTGAAGCCTCCTTTGAAGCCACCGCGGACGCCGCCTTTCTTTCCTTTGCCTTTCCTCTTTCCCTTTTGCCAGCCATGAGGACCATGTTGATGGGAGCTGCCTTTGCTCATAGGGCACGATGAAGAGCTATGCCATTTGGAGCCGCAAACAGTGCATCCCAGGCCAAGGCTGCCTTTGCCTTTATAGTAGTCTTCCGTCTCCTGCACTGATGTCGTTCCAGCGGACTCCTCTTCTGGTAGAGCATCTTCTTGCCAGTAGTCCTCGTGCCATTCATCTGCAGTTGCCCAATCATAGTTGCCGTTCTCGGACTCCTCGTCATAGTAACTTTCAGGCCACCATTCATACCATTGGTCATCTGCAGGGTAGTCCTGCCAATAGCTTTCAGTCCAAGACCATGGTTCTGTCAGGTAGCTTGCGTTGTCATGTTCGGCTGTCCAGTCCTGGCCATAGAGCTCCTCAATCTCAGTTCCTTGGGAAGCAGTGGATCTGGCATCATAGAAATGACCTGGTTCATTTTGGCGATGTGCCAAGCGAAGAGCCAGGTTTCGAGCATCATCAAACCTCCTCATATCGCCGTGGATCTGGAGCATGATGTCCTCCACATGCTTTGCCGGAAGTTGACTTGCTCTAAAGAACAAAAACGTTTTCGCGACGTTGTTGATCTGTAAGCCAGCATGGGTCACCGCTTCCTCCAGCTTCAAGTTCCATTCCACTGAGAACTCCTGCAACGAAAGGCGTCCTCTCTTCAGGTCAAAGAAGGTCTCGAGCGAGCGGGTTGCTTGAACTTGTTCAGCATCGCCGAAGGCCTCCTTGAGGGTGTTCATGAGGGCTTGGACACCGCTCGGGATCGCCGGTTGCAGGATAATGGCCAGGTTCATTGGATCGCACACTTCTTCCACAGAAAGTCGAACTAGGGCGGCGTCTTGCCAGGGGATCAACCAGCCTCAGAGAATGGGCGATGGTTTGTGCTCGCCCTTGTAATCGTCCAGCGATCAACGGGCCAACCATTTCGTCAGGGCCCTCGAAGGTCCGGTACCACATGCGGACCCGTTCCATGTACAGCTTCAAGCTGCAGCTTGGATCACCGGGGATCCAGCCAGGAGGTGTGTCCTTACTGAACTCGCCCAAAGGAAGGCCACCTGGTACCGAGGCCCCGGACTGGGCCATGTCAAGGAGGAGATCCTCCTTCCAGTGGAGGATGCCGTAGGGCTCGAGCTGGATGTTGAGGGCACCAAGGATGGACACCGTGAAAAGGATGCAGGTCGATGCAAAGGCCGCCACCATGAAGCAGCGGAGTGCGAAGGGAGCAAAAGGTCCCTGGAAGGCACGCTACGGCCAGTCCAAGGTGGAGCCTCCGTAGAGGCTCCGCTACCAAATTCGGTAGCGCTTCTTTTGTGCCAAAAAAGGTCGACCTGCGTTCACAGCTTAATGCCTATGACATGACAATGCTTGTAAGTTCACTCAAACCTTCTGTTGCTCCGACTCAGCACTCCATGCCGTTTTGCAAGTCAAGGTCTACAATGCAACGGGTAATGTAATCGCTAAAGTGGGACTTCACTCTGAACTTAGCTCTTGCGAGCAATTCTCAAAGTGTGTTCAAAAGCTGAGGACCCCTGGCAACATCTCTCGCACGCGGTTGTAGAAGTTCACGAACATCTTCTTGATTGCTACAGATGCTCCGTCCTCACAGCAAGACAAAGGAAGAAATCTGCTTTATCAACGACCGCTGGACAAGAAGGACAAATCCTGCAGTCATAGGAAATCTTGTTCGTAGAGTTTGCAAAAGCGACTATTGTCCCAAGCTCAAGAAACTCCAAAAGGTGCACCCAAAAGCGACTTGTCTCTTTTTTTTAGTAAAGAAACTAATGACAAATGGAACCCGAACAAAACCTTCAAGCCCAGTCCTCAAATCCTCCATGCTTTGGAAGTCTTGACTTGATCCAAGCTGGTGGGCCCTTGCGGCCTTCGTCAAGCTCAAAAGTGAACAGCAAAAACACAAAAAATTGCCCTGGCCACCTCCACACTCTTTGTTTGGTACAGACCAGAGAGACCCATAGAGACCCTGGCCATCCCTGGCCTTCATACTTCATGTAGATCTTGAAGCGCTTCTCCTCGATTTGCACTGCTTAAAGAGCGTGTGCGACATGCAGACCATTGCACGCTACACATCCCCCTTGCAATCGTGGATCCTTATGTGCCCAATTCAAACATTGGCTCAACCGGCAAGGCAACAAATCCATGCTATCTTACACACTTTGAAGGAATGTGTCTACAATGGATGTGGCTGACCTGTGTGCAATCCTCTCATGCTGCAAGCAATCTGAAACCGCTGTGGGTACGGGCACCCTTGTTTGTTTCAGCCCGTTGACGAACGATGAGTCTTGATGTGCCACTACCACGCTGTTTTTGGCTCCGATATGTCGTCCGATCGGATGTAGCACTGGGTTGGACTCGCGAAGACACAGTAAGCATGTTGCAAATGTTTTTTACCAATCGCGAACAAGGCTCCTTTTGCGGTTGAATGAACTTTGGCTTGTGGTCTTCTCTTCTATCCTCTGCTTGTTCTCGGCGTTTCCTGGACAAGTACATTGACGGCCTCCTCTCTAGAAAACTTGAGGCACCTTGGAACCTTGGTTCAAGCAGCCCGGTACTAATGTACCAGCCAATGGTGATGCAGAAATAAATACTGCAGCATCTTGCAGCCGTTTGTCCCTACTCTTGACCCACCCATCTGTGCAGCCTATCTGATGCCCTTTGCTGGGCGACACTGGTATAGGCATCAGCTGTCACGCCCTGCGTCGGTAGAGGTTTTGGCACATCTCTGACAGTGTTTGGAAACCAAACCCAAAACCAACTAGTTTGGTGTTGACTTTATTCCATGTTGTACGTATATTTCAAGTAAAAAGACCAGGGGCCTCGATTTCAGCTATTTCTTCCTTGTCTTCGCCATGGAGAGGAGGTGCCTGCAGGGACTTGCAGCAAAGCCATACACCATGTGTGCTATTTGTGCCGCTGCATGCAGCGAGTGTGGTGGGAGCTTGGTCTTTTAGAGATTCCACCAGCTTGGTCATTTCCTCTTGCTTAACCAGCCCTGGGCTTCAGACTTCAGCCATTGCCTCAAGCAAACAACGACTCTCCAACTTCGGCACGTGGCGTTTACAATGATACATCTATCCCCCTCGGGTGTGTTTACAAACAAATAAGCAAGCACACCAGCTCAAGGCTAGTCTGACGAGTGTCAGACCCTAACCCTTCAGCAATTAGCTGAGTGCTCAGCTCACTGTTTTTGGAGCTGTATTGCTTAGTTGAGCCACAAAGCTGGGTTTCACCAAACGCACGACAAAAGTGAGGCTTAAGGACCTTAGAAGCTGAAAGTACACAAAGGACCAAACTGAGTCAGAAATCGCTGAATGGCCACTTGGCCTTTTCTGTCGTCCAGCACTGTCCAATTTTGGCACTGCATTGTGTATCACGTGTGCCTGAGAAAGGCTGGTCAAAACAGCACTCCCCAGCAGTCTCGCATTGTCTTCGACACTGGATACTACGGGCACAATGTGCAAACCTTCAGGACCAGGACCATATAGGCCCCTACGGGCACAGTCCTAATGTGCTGGAGGCACCGTGGCTCATGTCCAGCTTTGCTGTCATTCACCAGGTGCACAACAAAATGTGCATGCTTTTAATTGTGCAAAAGTACACAGTCCTGAAGGTGGCAGTGCACATGGTACACTGCAAAATGAATTCGGCTGTGCCTTGCACATTGAGTGGTCCGACTGCGATCCCTAGATGCAGTCTGCACTTCTTCACTTTGAATCACATAGACTCGGCTCTGCTTTGAATCCCATGCTTACTGTTGACATGCTTTTCCTTCCTCCAACCTTGAAAGAACTTGCAATCATTGCCTCTTCAATCTGGGTCTTCTTTTATTCCAATTCTAAGGGCCTCTCCTGCAAGCAGATCTTGAAGATCCATGCTGTAACTTCTCTCTCGGTCTCCAAAGTCTTCCCACCTTCTTCTTTTTCTTCTTTTTCTTCTCCTGCCAGTGGACTTGCGACGGAATCCTAGGAGTGAGCTTGCTTTGAGAAGCACACCTTCAAGAGGCTCGGCTTGCTCGGCTTGCTCGGCTTCGGCGACTTTGGGGCCTGAGAAGGCATGTCAGAGAAAGCGCTCGGTGCAACATGGGACTTGACTCAACGGCCTCCACAACTTTGCTTTCTGCCCATTCCTCAAATAGCGGTGATATCAAAGTCATCGAAACGGCTACACTACACGTTGATCCAAGCCACACCAGAATTTGCCCTCAGCAAACACTGAACTCTCGAAGAAAAGTGCATATTTATATACCAGCAAGTAGCATTTGAGAAGAAGGCTCAGCACTGAACTTTGCACCCAAAAAGTGCTGTGAGATTCTTGAAAGTCGCTGAAGGACGACCTGTAGCAATGTGCTTTTGAGTGCAGCTAGTGGCAGAGTCCCCCAGAGAATCAGAATGATTCATGGATCATCCCCTTGTTGTTCTCATAAGTGGCCAAACACGAATCTGCTCCCAGAACAGCTCCTTTCCAGTGCGCGGCTGCAGCAAATCTCCTATATAGACCCCTCCTTACCTTGCAATACAGAATGTAAACGCCCCATGGGTACAGCAGCCTGATTGACCGCACCAGCTGGCACCGCATTTTCTGCCTTGGCATTGGCTGTCGTTTACAACAGCATTTCAGCACTGACCTCACCCTACTTTCTCGCTCAGTGGCAGAGGACTCCGTTCTCCACGGAGGTTCAGGCTCTCTTTCCTGCTGTCTGACCTGATGTACACAACAAAGTGAAAAGGATAAGTTCAAAGCTACAACCAACAGAACTGGGTCTATTCTCAAGGTGTTTCGCATGTCCTCAACGTATCAGATCTCAACCTTCTGATTTTTAGATTCCACACTTCTTTCCAGAACAGTGCGAATGAGCACCACTAAGGAACATACAACGTTGTCGCCAATTGCCGGACTCTTAATCAGGGGTGTTGATATGGCATATCATGCAAATGTTTTGACGGAGGTTTGTGAGCCAAAAGGGTCCACAAACAAATGGGATGCCGTACTTTCATTTGTCACCTGTTTCTCTTCTGAAACCGATTCAGATTATTTATAGTATGATTCAGGCTCTCTTTTTGCAAACGTGCAGTTCGTCTATTTCCGCAAAAAAAGGCCCCACAATTGCATGAGATGTTCATTGATGTTCGTCAAACAGGGCTTAGGCGTTTCGGACTTTCGGGTTGAAGAAAAGCAGGAATGTCCCTGTTCAACATGGACATGTATAACTGCATAATGTCTCATGGATACCATTCGATGTCTCACGGACTCTGGGTGGAGACGCAAGGATCATTGACCTTCTCAGCTTCTGGCAAAAAACACGAAACAAAAACAAAATACAAAAAGGATTACCCTAGGCCCTATATGTGTACAAAAGGCAAACGTTTAGATGTGGGATCACAGACGACTTTGAGTAGAAAGCTCCATTCTTCGCAGCAGACACCCCATGTAGCACTTTGCAACAGTAGATATAACGTAACAAGATGTAACAAGTAATAACTGGAACATTATCAGCCTCATCGCAGGCACTGTTGACAAAAACTTACGGCGGCTTGCCTGAGCTCCATCAACACTTGCTGGAACTGGCGTTGCTGGAGCTTCCAGCTGCAACAAGACCTGCCAAGCCGGTAAGGCTACGCTGCGGCTACGGTTCTTCAAGGAAGCTCCATTCGCCAGGAAGCTTCCTGCCCCGTTCGTACCAAACATTGCTCCGTTCGTAGCGATGCCCTTTGTTCCGTTCGTAGCGTCCTTGTAGTAGTAAGGCCAGGAGCCCCTAGTAGCGTCCTCTTTATAGTGTATGCTGTTGGTGCTTCTCGAATTTCCAAGACCTCCATTCCCGTGTCTGCCTCTGTTGCATTTGCACCTGGTTGCTCATTCCACAAAAGCGGTTCAGGCACTGCAGAAGCCTCCTGAAGACGGATTTGCTGAAAGGATGTGGGAAATCTTGAGCGCAAAATGCGCAACTAGGAACTAGCATGATTCAATTTGGTGCTTCATTCGAGCAACCTGCCATGTCTGGTGGAGTGGAGAAGAGCCAGGTGAAGTAGGACACATGTTGACAGGAGCGGCAGGTTGGCATGAAGCCTGCATAGAACATTGATCCAACAAATGGCAACTGCGTAATTCAAGCAAACGATCCTGCAAACAAAATAGCAAAAGCTTGTGATGCGTAATTTATTCAATGACGTGGTCTAGCATCCTTTTGCCCGACTTCAAGAATAGCAATTGCCAAGCGTCATAGTGTGGAGACATGCTAGCAGCTGCGTGACGAGCGTTCCACGCAGGAGTGTTCCACACAGGAGCGTTCCACGCAAGGGGTTGAGGTTGCAACGAAGCTTGCTCCTTGAAAAGTGAAATCAGCTGTGTTCCATGCAGTATCGATGCGTTGCTTCGTTTGAATGATGGTAGGTTCCCTTTAGCAGAGAACTTCTGCAAAGTGGCAACGAATGAAGTAGAGGCAATTGAAGGTGCAGGGATTCGGTCTGTGGCAGGGTCCCGCTGCAATAAAGCCTGATGGACCAGAGAGTAAAGTTGACTCAGCAGCTTCGATATACAGTCTACATTAATACGGTCTAGTTATGCAGTCGTGAATCCAAAGAATACAAGTATGTGATTAGTCTTGCCAGCTGGCCAGAGGTGAATCACCAGAGGTTGGTACTACAATCGACTCAGTGATTGTAGGGTCAGGATGCGACGCCTGGCGCAAAAAAAAGCCTTTTTGGTGAGACATAAGGAAGCATCATAAACTACATCCAATGTTTCAAGTTTCATACAATGTCTTGTGTTTTTCAAAGCACTGACTCTGAGTTGGGAATGGTTTTGGTCCGATGTTTGATCTTATTCCCTGTCTTACTTGCACTTCAACTACAAATGTTTGATCGTTTAAAATTCAATGTCGAGGCAAAACGTAACTCTTAATCGTGACAACTTGTGCACAATCTTCACTGCCTCGGATTCATCAGGTACTGAGACGTCATCAAAGGCACATTGTGGGTCAACTTCCTGCTCATCTTCCTCCACTTCCAGCTCCTCTTCCTCATCCTGTTGCACGCCAGCTGACTTGGAAAGCCGGTTGTACTTTGGCTTGGACACTCATGTCAAGCAACTAAGGAACACTAAGGTCACTGCCCACGTGTATTTCGCTGGCTCGGCCACAAGATCGATGTGAAAGGAAAGCAGTGGCAATCAATCAACAAAGCATCTCACGACTTGTCTTCAGTCCTGTTCTTCTGTGGCTTCGAGCGAGATGGTCACGCAGAACCTGAGATTCCACTGGAGGACAATTTTGTCAACTGTCCTTATCATATCTTTAAAACGTAGAATAACTATATATCTACATAGATAGAAACCATGGACCAAATGAATAGTGCGAGTACTTTTCTGCTTACAAAAGCTCACCTCATGGCCTAGGTCAAGCAACAGAATCAGTTGCCGAGCAAGAAGAAGAGAAGCGAAGGCGACCAAGCTATCTGTTACTCCAGTGTCGGACTGGCTTTGCTGACCGATAGAAAAAGCTGCCATGTGTGGCTGCATTGCCATGTCAATAACGATGACCAGCAAAACTGGGAGGCTGCCACACAAGCACAGAACTTTTGCGAAAGTGGCACACACTGCCTTGGCCAAGATCTATGGAAGGCTCCCACTCAGCACATGACGGATATGTAAATCAATGCTGTAGTTTGGTGGACCAAGGTCGCAGCATCCTTGTTTGACTGGCTCTTCATTACAACGGAGTAGATCGGGGGCGATACCAGAGCCTTGGAAACACTGTCTGGACTCGTCCCGAATTCGAACACCTCCACGCTATGCGCACGGTCGGAAAACCTCCGGAAGCTGCAAAAATCCTCTGGCAGTCTGTTGTCCAGTTAAGCTGAGCCACTCGTGACACAACTGCCAGTGATGCTATCAATGCATTGGCAAGGCCAGAGCATCTGCCTTGGATCAACAAGCACAATTGTCGTCTCACACTCAAGGGTTGGAGCACAACCATACTGCAGCAAAGCCAAGTTGCATTTGCGCCTGAGATTCCTTCTGCACAAGGCTGTACATCTGCACATGTGGAATACCATCACATGAAAGTGATAGGCCTGGGCAGAGGAAAAGCATGCATTGCTCATAGAATGCAGTGAATGCGGACAAGAAAAGATTCTGCAAATGCTCAGGCCGCGTCCAAGCAAAGACAGAAGAAGACTGGTGCCATCAACAGAATCACAATCGTAGAGCCTCTTGGCCTCCATGTGTCCAGCTTCTTCGACCAAATCCTACACGGCACCAGAGAATCCAGGAAACCATATCAAGAAGCAGCTGATGATCGTTGACAACTGAGATATGGCTGGGCCACCTTTGAGAATCTCTACGTCAAATCATCAGCACTTTACAAGAGTGATAGTCCTCATCTGGGAAGGGTGCTCCCTTTCATCTTGCAACTTATGTTCACTCTGTGCGCTACCTGGCCCCAAGCACACACAGCTGCAGGGTGTCGGAGACAGCAAGAGAGCCAAGTATGGCTTGTTTGACCTGCCTTTCATGCATAGCAAATGGGGTACAAAAACGACCGGTGTCAGCAAGATCACCAGGGTACAAATCATGGTCCTTGTGGCAAAACTTCACACATTCTGCATCACATTGACTGTACTTCTTTCAGGCTACAAGTCAGCACCCCAAAAGGTTGGTTTGTATAGCAGGTGACGTAACAGAGAAAGGCTGTAACACATCTTGCTTCAATGTGATTGGCCTGAAGCTTGCCAAGCTTCGATTCGCTCGCAAATCTGTGTGTCACCAAGTATAAAAGCATCAAACAAAACCTGAGTTGTCGAAGGCTGCTGCATTTTCACTACGAAAGAATTCTTTGAAGTCAGGGAACTCGAGCGAGAGGCAAATTCCAAGAGCAAAGTCTTTCAAGGCATCGCACCTTGAAAGTCAGTTCAAAAACCAAAATCCTGCCCTTTGCTATTAGTAGCTTCTTGTTCCTAGTAGTAATACCCCTCTGAAGGCACTTCTGTGGAAGCCGCAATTATGAGAAATCCTCCATGCAGTCGAGTTTCGACACGCGCTCTTCTGCCGATGTCACACTCACCTAATTCTCAAGTTACGTATGGCAAGAAGCTTGTCTCTTCAGCCAACTTCAGGACTTTCGGATGTGACTCAAGTCAATGCAAAAAGGTCTAAAGGGTCTTCTGTGCTCAAGGAGATTACTCTGCCAGCTTTCACGTCTCCATCGATCGAAACCTTGGCCACACCACTATTCCTCTCATGCGTATGCTTGCACAGAGGCTCAAAACAAGTTAACACTCTAAACACTCTGACACACTGTTCTTGGAGTCCAGCACCAATCTTGTTTGGGTCAATATCGGCCTTTACCTAAGAAATCTAGGTCGAAGAACTTTGCAACTTGTACTCTGTGGCAACTTCCTTTGAGCCTCCTGCCAAGCTTCTTCTCAGGCCCTGTGCACCTTTAAAGTGTCTAGCATGTACTGGAAAGAAGAGTTCAACAGTTAAGCATTGCAATGGCTTTTCACGGCTGCGGGAAAGACCACCGGTTTGCCTCCAGCTTGTGTGACCTCAGTGCACTTTGGTTGGAAGCCCAAACCAAGAGTTTTGTACAAGACATCAAAGCACCAAGTCTGAGGAGCACTCAAGCCCAGATGCATGGACCATGCAAAGAACAGCGAAGACAATGCCAATCGCAATCAACGCGGAGTTCGCTTCAATGCCTAGCAAAGCGGTTGGTCAAGAGCTTCGAATACCAGGCAAGAACAAAGAATGCTTTCAATCTGGTGTGGGGCAGAGGATTGATTTGTCCAAAGTGAACAGCAATCTGGCGCGCAGCAACAAAGGTATAAAAGTAAGACATCTGGACCGAAAGTAAGGCCAGTGGTGTTGGTGTCTTCCTGCTTAAGGAAGTGTTTGACTCCAAAGGTTCGGGCTAAAGTAAGATGCATAAATTGTTTACAAGATTTCAGGGGTTGTGATAGGATTGTTGACATTATTAATATGCCAGATTATAGAACTTACGCTGGACATTGAAGAGATCATTCGCTGAATATAGTGATATCAGTGTAACTGGTGTTCAAGCAAACATCTTGACACGCACTTTCCTTGAGAAGAGATGCCTCATTCAGATTGAGAGCCTTCCTGTTCCTCTTCATGGTGGTGGTCATGCCAGCAACAGGACAATGGTTTTGAGACATTGATGTTCAATGATGCGGGGCTTTATGTTTGCAAGATACCTGCATTTGAAAATGCTTGTTATGCGTGCCGCACTGCTTCACATTAGTTAAACGTTAAACTTGATCGTTCATGTGATTGCGGTTCTACTATTGGCTTGCATTTTCTCGGATGCATGATGTTGGTGATGCTATGAGTCCATATAGGCAATGTCAGCATTATCATATGTATGTCAAATAGTTACAAGTTACCGTTGCAAAAATACCTTATGCAAACTTTCATGAAGGACGCCTGTGGCTAAAGCATCTCAGCGGTTGTTCTTTGGGTGTGTGTGTGTGTGTGTGTCACTCATGATGAGGTTTGCTGCGCAACATGCACAGCCGCTGTTGGGCTGGCCCGAACAGGAAAAAACAAAATAAACACCTGTTGAGCAGTTCTTAGGTTTTGCATCTGAATGTGCCTGGCCCAAAGCTGCGGAAGATCACGATCTCCGAGAGCCTTGCAAATCAGGAAGGATAAACACAATGAACTGCAAGAACTTTAAAGTGCAAAGCATTGGCCTTGAATTCGGTTGGACATATCGAGAAACGAAGCTTGCATGATACCTCAAGCGAAGCTCTCATAAACACTATGAACACATCCAAGACCTTCTTTGAGGTTTAGACGTCTCTTCTTCCACCACAGCAATGGACAAAAGAGCCTCGCTAGGTCGTACATTCAGAAGTCTCAGCTGTGAAACGCGAGGCCTTTGAAACGAGGAAGGCCTTGGAGTGATCCAAACTCCAGATCAATGAGCTTGGAAGTCTCATGCGAAAGCAACTCACTTGCCTTGGCAGGCCGTCTCAGGATTCAGTCCCATTCTGGAATTCTCTAAGAGAGACCGCTGTCCCTCTCGCACCAGGAAAAAGCTTACCGGGCCGATTTTCTTGGACCCCGACCTGTGTGCTGGGATCCACACATCAAGAACTCCTGCCTTGAGGAAAATACTGCGGTTCTTTCTTTTGTTCTTGACGCCAAATTCTATGATCTTTTGCATGCTCACCAAGACTCCAGACAGTGCCGAGAATCACTCGACGCTCTAGAAAGGCTTTACCTGCAAAGTCAAGCTTCTTCTTGTGCAAACTTAATGACACCAGGAAACAATGAAATAGCAAATGACATCTTCTGAAACAAGCTTGCAACACTGTCGTAAGCTGTCGAGGCTGATTCTATCAATTGTGAGCAGGATGAATCCTGAGTGGCAAACCCGTAAATCCCAAGCTGGAACAACACAATGCAATGCAAAGGACATGTATGAGGGCAAAACTGAGAATATGCCCACTTGGCAGTCTATGCCTCGGGAAAGTATGTCTGATGAACCAAAAACAAAACAAAACTGTATGCGCTGTGAAACACTCCCTGTAAAGCAGTTGCAAAGGTGTGGGTGTTCAGCCTTTGAAGTCAAGCAGAACATTGGAGTCCTTCTTCCAATCACTGAAGCCAGCACGTGACAGCTGAGGAAAGCGCTCTCAGACCAAAGAGATGGTTGCATCCAAATAAATTCTGGCGGAGCACTTTCAAGCTTTATCTGTTCTTTTGGTGATTCTTATGCAAGTTCAAGGATCCGTGTTCTGCTAAAGGGCACCTGGCTGGAGAAGGTCGCACTCCATCGAGCCCGATGAATTTGAAGGAAGCCTTCGTTCAAAGAAACGAAGCTGTTCCTCTGGATGAATGGGAGGAGTCTCCCGTCCTTTTGTGTCTGATCGCGGCTAAATATACAATAATTATATATATCAAGCTGCATTGGAGTCTGAGTAAAATGCCCGGAGATCCGGAAGTGAATAGGACTCTGAGATGAGTTTGGCCTCTGCAGTGTCTGGTGATTCACAAAACAACAGCATTCGACAAGTATCAATGGCATAGGTTTCGCGCTCCCATACTGTTGCTGTACCATATTGAGCTTGAAGAGCAACGACGGCAATCGCCGGCCTGTTTGAATGAAAGCCAGCAATATCTCATCAGCCACTACATCGCATTGAGGGCATGCAAAAAGAGTGTATCCAGCGTATGCTTTTCAAAAGCAATCAAAGCTAAGAATCTAGTAGGTGGAGGCCAAGGCTTTTGGGTAGAGGCCATCGCTATTAGTTGGAGGCCATTGCTATTAGCTTGGAGGCCATCGCTATTAGGTGGAGGCCGTCGCTATTAGGTTCCTTATGCTATTAGAAGAATCACTGTCGCAAACCCTTCCGCTGCACCTGAAGGACATTAAGAGCATCTACACATTCCAATCTGATTTGAGCAGTTTGGGAAGAGCTGTCTCTGGCCAAATATACTCAAAACATTGAATGCGTTTGTCAATCTGAGATACAATTGGTCATGAGAGGATCAACTGGTTACCACACAAGAGCAAATAAGACCAGCTTGAGAGGAAATTTGCTGCAAATTGCAAGCTGGCTACAGGTTGGTACCAAGGATGCGGAAAGGTTGCAAGGGCAGGGGGAAGAAACACAAAGGGTATCAACCTGAGTGTGTGACCACGTCCTCAGGATTTGTTGATCAGAACATGAATTGTCTGTTGTGACCGTCTCAAGGAAGACTGAACATTTCAAAATCGGTGGCCAAATATGTTCATGGTTCTGGACCACAAAGTCAAGCACATTCCTTACTGTAAACAAACAAACAACTCTCTTGAATATCAAATAGATCATGGCGAAGTTGCACAGAAGCACTTTGCAACTGCAGTGCACATCCGAAGACAACCTAGGTTTCCCTGTTACATACAGAAGATTCTAAATTCAGTATGCGTACAAGAAAAGGGTCTGGAGTTTTCTCGGTCGTCACTGGACAAATCTGGTAGTTGCAAATTGCAGGTCACAGGTCACAGGTAGTACGCCTGTCAAACAAGGAACGATTGATCACACTAAACGTTCAGTGACTCGTCCAGTCACGAAACCCTAGCTATATAAGCACATCCCGAATTTAGAGCTACCGGCTACCTATGATGACTGACCAAAAAACTCTTTGGGCATAATCAATTCTACCTCAGCTCATGACCTCATGACTTATCTTCCGAAGCACGAACTCGATCGACAAATCCATGTCTGCAGGTGCACAAGCATGTGCGCTTTCAATTGGAATATGCCCACCCTGCACCAAATTGCAAATTATTGGTGCACAAAAAAAAGGACATTCAATGTCATTAGCCAGAGCGAGTCCACTTGGTGGACCGTCTGCATAGCTCTTTCTCTACTGCCAAGAACAAAATGTCTGGAGTCTGGAGCCACGGGATGATTTTCTTTGCCCTGTGCTATTCAATTTAGTTATTCGTCATGGATTCATTGTCTACACTGACCGAAAGCACAAGCGGCTCAAGACTGCCTATGTGTTCGTGGTGCACTCAGGCACTCACCTGCTTCAGCACTACGCTGCGCTGCCGATTGAGCAACCAGCGCAACATGCCGAGCAAAGAAGTTCATTAAGTTTGTTAATGAGGACTTTGAATGGATTTGAAATGGAGTCTTTTCAGACCCATTGTAAAGTCTTGCGTCTTGCCCTGCTGAAAGCTACTCGTGAAGGTCGCGACTGTACCACCTCAGATTCATTCAGAGTTTTTCCTTTTTCCAATTCATCCAGATTCAGCAACCTCCTCAGCGTCCTGGATGCAAAAGGCTGAGGGAAGGCGCATGACGTCTCCAGTCACCGCAGTCCTCCACGTCATCTGGTTTCTTTTTGCGTCGCTCCTGGTATGAAAATAATCCACTTGGCAAGATGCAAAGCTTTGGCAAGCATAAGAGCACCTATGGTTTCTGAGGAGTCCTTATGTTCTTTCTTCTCTCTTTTTTCGCGAGGCTCCTCAAAACGAAAGGCTCGAACCCACCCCTGAGATGCTGGAATTGGCAACCGTAGTCAGTACACGTCGATCTCCTTTCGCTCTTTCGATTCCTTCTGCTCCCTCCCCTCCTTCGTGTCCCGTTCCCTTCCTTCTTTTGTTTCCTTTTCCCTCCCCTCTTTTCCTTCTCTCTCCCTGCCCTCTTTGCTTTCTCTTTCTCTTCCCTCTTTTGCTGCAGCTTCTCTTTCTTTGCCCTCTTTCGCTTCTCTGTCCCTTCCCTCTTTGCCTTCTTTGTCCTGGTGCCAGGAATACACTCTGAAGCAGTCGAAGGATCTAATCTAAAGTAGTAAACGGTTTTCTGGCTAATCCAATCAAATGTCCATTGTCGGTCGCATCCCTCGCTTGAACTTCATGTAGGTGAAAGCTCGGACATGCTGGCACAACTGCAGGGTCAGTTTGGATAGTTTGAATTACGCGTCGTTTAAACATTCGCACTCATACGATCTCAATGGGATGTCCCCAACCGCAAAAGAATGAGCAGAATACTGATGCATGCTCACCTCCTGTGATGTTCAGCATCTTGCGCCGATGCTCACAACAATAACAAGTAAACCTTTGTATATAACCTTGCATGACTTTGATCGCTTCTTTTTGTGCCTTTGCTCGTTCTTTCCTGTCTTCGCTCTTTGCCTCGCAGCTAGGTCATTAAACAACTAAATTTCAGTGCGTCATGTGTATATATATATATATTGATGTGGGCATATAAGCGTTAAGACTGCCTGGGTTTGCGGTGCACGGACTGGTGTTTAAGGCTCGGAGTGGTGCGCGGGCTGGTGCTTGGAGTCGGTCGAGCACCAGGTTGGGCACCACGTTGCGCACCACTCCGAGCACCACTTTTCAAGGTTCAAATTGACCCCCCCGCGCACCACCCGCGCACCACCCTGCGCACCACTCCGAGCA